GACACACACACAAACACAGGCAAGATCGTCTCGCCGCAGGGGGTCAGGCTGATCCCGATGCTGCTGTGTGCGTGTGTCTGAGGCGGCGGCGGCGGGGAGGTCACCTCAGTCAAAATATTGCACTTTAAAGGGCACGTTGAAGAAACAGAGTCCTTCACAGCGTCTGCTTTCGCCCTCCGGTGCTACAACACAGAGAACACATCTGTCATATTGACAGGCGCACTTTATTTTTTCCTCTCCAAACTCAGCAGCACGGCAGAGCCGTTCCACCTCATAGCTCTGCTCGCTGTATATGAAAGAGACAGGTTTAAATCAGTCTCAGAGCTGTGCAGATGGGAAGGAGACGTCTGCTCACAGGTCGGTGGATTCATAGATCGGTGGGAATGATGCCGAGGAGAGAAACATTTCCAAAAGCCTGAAATATCGGTTGTCGCAGCTTAAACTCGTGTGAGTGTTACGAGCTCAGCTTTGATTATTTAGTGTTTGTGCTGATGCTCCGTCTGCCTCCAGCCGCAGGGTGAGGCGGCGTGTTTATGGTCAGCGAGGCCCGTGTATGCCCACCAACATTAAATCCTCTCAGGGATCCATCGCTCTGAAAAACGCTGCCATGAAAAGAACAACATGCAACTTTATCCCCTGCTCTGCCTGCAAATACTGCGGCATCAGACACACGCACACACTGAGACACGCACACACACGGGGTGGTGGCGTCGGGTGTCGCACAGACAGGAAGCAGAGAACAGAGGTATCGAACAAACAGGGGAAGGCGACACCGCTGTCGATACTCGGCCCCGAGGAGAACAACGGGCGCAGACAGCGGGCCGGTCTCAACGCTGTCAGACAGTCCTCTGCACCGAGGAAGTCTCCTCCGACCTCAGCAGCAAACACAACTTTAACCCAGGTTACGAGGAAGTACGACACGTGCTTGTGTTTATGGATGCACCCTTTGAGGAAAAGACAGCGACGCTCACGCTGTGGCGTCCGGTACATTCGTGTTTGTTGGGCGACGTTTGTGCAGCTCATGATTCCAGTCCAGGCTCCGCCCCTTTTTCTGGCATGTAAAGACACACTCCCTAATTGTATTTAGACTGATACTGCTTACATTTAACTAAAACTGATCTAAACACAGAAACTAAGGCTACGTCCACACGTACACGGGTATTTTTGAAAACGGAGATTTTCCGTTTTCGTTTTAAAAAATAATCCCGTCCACACGTAAACGCAGAAATGAAGGAAAACGCTGCTATGAACATGCCAAAGCAGCAGGTGGCGCTAGATTCCTAACCGTGTAGAAATGTTGGCCAATCAGAAGTCTAGAAGCCTCGGTGGGAAAAAGTAAACAAAGCTGGGGCATAGAAGCAGAACCGAGTCGTATGTGTGGAGGGACAGTAACTGTGTGTGTATATGTAAGCATTTAAACACTGCAGAGAGTACAAGTAACAGTAACAGTATTGTAGAAATTCATTTCACCGAAACAATAACGTGGCGCACAGTGTGACGTCAAAAAAGGCGCACACCTTTGACGCTGCGTTTTCTCTGTTTTCCTCGTCCACACGTAAATGCAAAAACGGAGTTTTCAGAAATCTCCACCCTGGCCGGCGTTTTTAGAAGAATAGCTTCTCTGAACTTCTCAGATGGAGCCACTGGAAAATCCTTCCTCCTAAAAACTCTGTTATCTGAGAGAATATGTTCTTCCTCATTCTTTCATCATCATGAGTGCAGGGGAGGGTGGAGCGGGTGGAGATGATGTTGAGCGATGATTTGAGACAGGAAGGTTTAAAGATTTCATATTGTTGTCTTTCATTTTCAGCTCATTGAGCAATTTTGTTTCATTTTTGTCAAACTATTCTGATTTATTTATGTCAATTAGTTATCAGCTGTGTGTGTGTGTGTGTGTGTGTGTGTGTGTGTGTGTGTGTGTGTGTGTGTGTGTGTGTGTGGGTGTGTGTGTGTGTGTGTGTGTGTGTGTCAGATCCAATGAGATCTCCTCCTGTCCTTAGCTGTTGGCTAATGACCCTGATGATGTGGAACGCTCACTGTTTATCTTCCACCTCATTAGTTTGAGGCCAATGCGCGCGCACACACACACGCACACACACACACGCACGTATGAGGCGTGGATGCACAGACCCTCACAGGTTCACACCTACGCACTTATTTTTTTAAATTTTTGATTTCATGTGTGCAAAAAAAGATTTGCTGTGATTTTCAGAACTGGACACAGAGCTGTGATGCTGCTGTGATGCTGCTGTGATGCTGCTGTGATGCTGCTGTGATGCTGCTGTGATGCTGCTGTGATGCTGCTGTGATGCTGCTGTGTGCTCAGGCCCACAGCAGCATCACAGCAGCATCACAGCAGCATCACAGGAGCCGACCAGCTCAGTTAAATCATGCCAACATTCTCAATGATGTCATTCTTGGAGACAAATTTAATGCCTCATTTACAGGCGACTTATTGGACATTTTTATGCAGTTTAACTTGGAGGTTAATTTGCTCGTACTTCACTGCAGCTGCTGGTGTTTTCTGGTGCCTTTGAAATAAAATGTGTACATCCAGCACCTGTGGTGCAGAGGCAGCCTTCATTTAAATGAAGCATAAGCCACATATATGTGACTCCCCCCACACACGCAGACGTGTCCCCGCTGACCTCCCTTTGCAGACACTCTTTAGCTCATGACTAATGGCTTAGCTGACGTTTAAATACACACCATAGATTTACAGCCATCAGAGGATGGCATGTTCTCTACAGTCAGTTTCCTGAACTTTTACCCTAATCTCAGCCTAATCTTACTTTATCCCAACCTAACAACACATCTACGCGAAAAAGGAAGAAATGAGGGTGGTTCAGGCCTTTTGCACAGCACTTGTATCCAGATGAAGGCATGTCAGGGTTGTCTGCATAACTGTAAGAAGCAGCAATGACGTCACTGCAGACAGGAGGAACCTGGTTTAAATGTTGGAGAGGAGCAGGTATTTAAAGCTAAATCAGAGGGAAACGTTACGGGTGGCGTTTCATTTGTTACCTTATTGTCATTGTGAAAGCAAAAAAAAAGCCAGTGCTAACCTCACGTTGTGTGTAACTGCGACACAGATACAGAGACTATAAAGTGATCCTACAAATGATAAAATATACATCAAATAAATCAAATTAATGAAAAAATATATTTGAAGACATAAAAACACACTCTGTAGTTACCTGTAAACACGTGCCTGTCTTGAATAAATGAAACTTCAGTCTTACATCACGAGCGAGCCGACTGAGATTGCCTAATATGATGAATCTGAATATTTATTAGCTGAAATCTGGACAAAGCAACGATGTGAATGTTCAGGTTAACGCAGCCTCCGTCAACGATGCCTAAAAAGGTAAATTCATAGGTTTAAAAACGGTTCAATGCAAACAACCACAGGCATCAACGGCGTTGGACGAAACCATCGCTATGACACAGAAGAAGTCGAACCACGCTGCACCATTGTAATCAGGCAAGGCAAGTTTATTTGTATAGCACAATTCAACAACAAGGTGATTCAAAGTGCTTTACAGAGACATTAGAAACAAAAACAAGAGAAATTGTGGCACAACCAGTCATTGATTTCCTCAATGCATTTACCAAGAGCCTGTACAGGGCCTCGGTCTCCTGGTGACATTGTGATATATATTTGTGTGTCATCTGCATAGCTGTGAGTAGTTTATTTTGTTGTTCTTTATAATCTGTGCCAGTGGGAGCATGTAGATGTTAAACAGAAGGGGTCCCAAGATGGAACCTTGGGGAACTCCACATGTGATACTTGTCTGCTCAGATGTGAAGTTACCTATTGATACAAAGTATTTCCTGTTTTCTAAGTATGTTTTGAACCAGTTTAGTACAGTTCCTGAAAGACCTGCCCAGTTCTCCAGTCGTTTGAGTAATATGTTGTGGTCAGACTGTATCAAATGCTGCACTGAGATCCAGTAAAACTAGGACTGACATTTTTCCACTGTCTGTATTCAGACATATGTCATTGAACACTTTGGTCAGAGCGGTTTCAGTGCTGTGGTTCTGTCTAAAACCTGACTGGAAGGCATTCGTAGCAGTTATTCTGTTTTAAGAAGTAACTGAGCTGTTGAGAAACTGCTTTTTCAATGATCTTACTTAAAAATGGGAGATTTGAGATCGGCCTGTAGTTGTTCATTTGTGTCTTGTCAAGATTGTCCTTTTTCAGTATAGGTTTGATTACAGCAGTTTTTAGTGGATTCTGGAAACACACCTGATAATAAAGAAAAGTTGACGATCTGTAACAGGTCTGACTCTAAAGTCTTTGAGACCTTTTTGAAAAAACTTGTTGGCAGGACATCTAAACAGCAGGAGGAGGAGTTCAGTTGACCTAAGATGTCCTCCAGGTCTTTGCTGTTAATAGGTTGAAACTGTTTCATGGTGTTTAAACAGTTTTTTGGTGGACACAGTACATATCCTGGATCTGCTGTTGATGTACCAATTGCTTGTCTAATTTTTTGGATTTTTTCTGTGAAGAATTTGGCAAAGTCATTGCAGGCCATGGTCGAATGAAGTTCAGCTGCCACTGACACAGGAGGGTTTGTTAGCCTGTCAACTGTAGAAAATAAGACCCGAGCATTATGGCTGTTTTTAGTGATGATGTCAGAGAAGTAGGACCTCCTTGCACTCCTCAGTTGTAAATTATAATTGTGAAGTTTCTCTTTATAGATGTCATAATGAACCTGGAGGTTTGTTTTTCTCCATCTGCGCTCAGCTTTCCTACACTCTCTTTTTTCATTTTTCACAGTGTGGAGTTTCTCCATGGAGACTTTTTCCTTCCAGAGATAACCTTCACCTTAATGGGAGCAATAGTGTCCATTACATTTAACATGTTAGCATTGAAGCTATTGACGAGCTCATTGACTGACCCTCTGGACAGGTCAGGTGTTAATGGGAAGACCTGGTTAAAAATTCACTACTGTGTTCAGTTATACACCGTTTTGTGATCACTGCTGTTGATATATTTGTGTGGGCTGAGATTTTACTTTCAAAGAAAACACAGTAATGATCAGACAGGCCCACATCAGTACCATTTTATACCACAAGGTGGCGCAGTGCTGTAATCTTTATATCAGTGTTAATGAGGAAGTTGTTCTTTACAGCTCTGTGGGACATGTGGGCTTATATAAAAGTGAAAAAGCGAAACCTGCGGCACACGAAACATGTCACCATGCTGGTGAAACTCTGCCCCCTGCTGGTGAAAGTTTTAGTCGAGCACTGCAGAGGGAAACTACAAAAAGCTCTTTAAATGTGAGAGCTCAGACTGTGTGTGTGTGTGTGTGTTGTGTGTGTGTGTGTGTGTGCACAGCTGTTTAAGCAGCCAGTGTGCTGACTTCGTGATGACTTCAGATCTGTGTGTGTGTGTTCTGTGTCTGTGTGTGTGTGTGTGTGTGTGTGTGTGTGTGTGTGTGTGTGTGTGTGTGTGTGTGTGATGTGCGTGTGTCTGTGTGCAATTGTGCGTGTTGACTGGATCGTCATTTTCCAGCTTTGCTACAAAGGAGCTCAGTCTTTCTCGTTCCTCTCTCTCTCTCTCTCTCTTCTCTCTCTCTCTCTCTCTCCTCTCTCTCTCTCCTCTCTCTCCTCTCTCTCTTCTCTCCTCTCTCTCACACACACCACAACACCACCACCACACACACACACACACACACACACACACACTCTCACACACACACACACAGACACTAGACATCCATTACACCTAAGCAGTCCGTCTCCCCCTCTGTTTCCCTGACAAACACACACCTCTCAGCACTTACCTGAACTCACCTCCTCCTCTCTCCTGCCTGTCTCAACCCCCTGACCCCTCCCTCCTCCCAGCTCATGGCTGCTCCATCTTTCAGAGGCTCTTCATGTTTTCCTCCTCCTTTCACAGAGTTGGACCTAATTGCATGTTGCATGTGTTTGCTTCGAGGCTTCCAGACAGAGTAAACTTTATTCCCTGCAGCAGCTCCTGGGTGGGACGAGCCTCTCGTCTCTTAATTCAGTTCTTTGACCTTTATTTATTTATTTATTTCAGAGCACAGATGTCATGTGTCATATGTCATCCTCGGCCTCTCCAGGCTTTCATCAGCACGACTTTGAGCTCTGTTTTTGCTTTGTTTTTTGTGCGCTGATCATTTGATGGCACCGGTCGAGTGTTTGGACCCAGAAATGGTTTCTGATGGCAGACCATACTTGTGGATTTATTTAAAATAACTGCTGTCTTTAAAAGCGTTAGGGTGGTGGTGGTGGTTCGTACCCTGCCTGAGATCTTCACCCGTACAGTCAGTGCAGATGTGCAGGTTAGATCCTGTGTGACGGCTGAGCAGCTGAATATTTCACTGAATTAACATTTCTAAAATCATACAACCCACATTAATGCCCAGTTTCATAGTTGTTTTTTTTGTGTGTGTGTGTGTGTGTGTTGTGTGGGGTGTGTGTGCGCGTGGCATTGTGTTGTGGTGCTGTGTGTGAGTGCTTGTATGTCCAGCTGTTTTTCGGCCCAGAGCAGCTCAGACAAACCAGGTCAAGTGTCTTCAACAGACGAATAAACACACGTCCTGCTCCTCCGTCCTCGGGAGAGTTGAAGACTGAGCCTGTGTGTGTGTGTGTGTGTTTGACTTTCTCACATTAAGACAATGAAAGGATAGGTGTGCGATTTCAGAATAGAAGACCTGCCCTCTGTGGGGGGTTTTGTGATGTGCAGATCTTAGTTTGATTTTGTTAGTCGTGTTTCAGTCTGAGACAGATGATAAAAAGAATCTGATGTTTCCTGGAGTTTTGTTTTAAATTCGAGTAGAAAAGACGGTTTTCATGCACTGACTTCAGAAGTTGGAATATTTCAGTCGTGTTTTCGGCTGTTGCAGTGTTTGTGTGCATATCCATGAGTTTGTTTGTTTCTCATCCCGACACGGTTGAGTGCACACATGTGATCTCTCTCTGATGTGTGTGTGTGTGTGTGTGTGTGTGTG